TATGGGAGTGATCGAACCAGTCAATGCTGCCCCCTGGATCTCCAACCTGGTCATTGCTAGGAAAAAGTCTGGGGGAATACGAGTTTGTGTGGACTTGCGCTCTGTCAATAAGCCCGTTATTCCCGACAAGTACCCTTTACCCATGGCTGAGGAGCTGACCACCCACTTCTATGGGTCGACGGTATTTACTAAGCTGGACCTGCGCCAAGGTTACTTGCAGGTGCCACTCCATCCTTCCAGCAGAAACCTCACAGCGTTTGTCACACACACTGGGGTATATCAGTATATACGCATGCCGTTTGGTTTGAGTTCCGCCCCCAGCTGCTTTCAAAAGGTGATGACCACCATCTTGGCTGGTATTCCTGGAGTTGCCATTTTCTTGGATGACATAGTAGTGCATGCAGCAGATATCCAGACACATAATGACCATCTCAATAGGGTGGCTAGTGCCCTCATTGAGCATAATCTTACACTGAATGCAGAGAAATGCAAGTTCGCTACCTCAGCCATTGATTTTGTGGGGTTTCGTCTCACGCCCAGAGGCATCGCCCCTCTCCAGTCAAATATCGAGGCTATCCACCGAATCCCAGAACCCTCCTCCACTTCCCAGGTAGCCTCATTTTTGGGCATGACAGCCTACTACCTTCGTTTTCTGCATCAGTACTCCCGAACCACAGCACCCCTCCGTCAATTACTAAAGAAAGATGATCCATGGAACTGGACTGCAGAATGCTCTGAGGCTGTCCAAATGCTAAAATCCCAGCTTACCACACCACCCATTCTAGCTCACTTTGACCCGGACAGTCTGACATTCGTCACCTGTGATGCCTCCACACAAGCACTGGGTGCGGTTCTCTCACAGGAGCAGGACGGTGTTGAAAGGCCTGTAGCATTTGCTTCCAGGGCCCTGACCCCCACGGAACAGCGCTACTCTGTCGGTGAACACGAAGCCCTTGCCTGTGTCTGGGCCACTGAGAGATGGCACCTCTATCTGTACGGGTGGCATTTCACCCTCCGCACAGACCATCAGGTGTTGACCATGCTTCTGTCAGCTTCTGGCTCGGGTCATAAATCCCTGCGCCTGCACAGATGAGGTGAGCGCCTGAGACAGTACGATTACCAGCTGAAATTCACGCCAGGTAGGGACAATGTGGTCGCTGATCTCTTATCTCGGTCCATTACCGCACCCACACCAGCAGCCTCACCAAGCAGCTATGACGTGGAGCCGGAGTTCATCCAGATGCTCCATGCACCTTTACAATCTGCTGTCTCCTTGGAAGAGCTGCAGAAGGAATTTGAGCATGACTCCATGTTAACAACACTCCGCACCTACATCAGGTGGACCTCGAATTTTCAGATTCGAGTCCTTTCAAACCCTGAATGAATTAATAATAATTAATTCCCTAAAATTAAGTAATGAGACATTACAATACGCTCAGGGTGGCCAGCGCGAGTGCCTGAGGAGCTAGTGCCATTTGCGAGGGTGCGGAATGAACAATCATGTTGGGGTGATGTACTGTATGTGTTTCCAGGGGTCTGTGTACAGTAGTGCCAAGCAGCTTGCGTGCACGTGTCCTTTCAATGGCGCACGAGGGTCATTTGGGCATCGTAAAATTTAAACAAAGATGCCGGGACCTGGTCTGGTGGCCAGGCATAGACCGTGATATTGAGGGGCTGGTCAGGGACTGTGAACCGTGTCTCCTTAGTGTGGACAACCAGCCCCAACCCCTTTGCAGCCAGTCCCATGGCCTTCACGTCCATGGGAGCACCTACAGTTAGACATCTGTGGGGAAATTCATGGCCATGGAGTTCCTCCTCATGAGCGCTTTCTAGTTGTCATCTACGATCTCCATTCTAAATGGCCTGAGGAAGTACCGGCAGGGACAGTTACATTACAGACTATCACGCAGATACTGGACAGTCTGTTTGCTCGTTGGGGCATGCCCCGTGCCAAAACTACTGACAACGGGCCCCAGTTCATTTCTGCAGAATTCTCCAACTTTCTCAGCAATAAGGGAATTAAGCATATTCGTGCCGCACTCTACCATCCCCAGGCAAACGATGGGGTGGAAAGGTTTAATCAGAGCCTTAAGAATGGGATTCGGGCACATCTGGTCCAGGAGTACTCATTTCAAATGGCACTTAATCAAACCTTGTTGCACTACAGGGCTAGCCAGCACAGCACCACTCAGGCTTCACCTGCTCTGCTCATGCTCGGCCGGGAAATGGAATTGCCCCTAGACAGGCTCAGAGCACAGGGCTTGTCAGCAACAATACTAACTGCCCCCCAAGCAGCAGTCAAAGTGGCCGTAACTACAAACCAGGGGCGAATGAAGGATAACTTCGATAAGAGACACAAGGTCAGGCATACTAACATCAAGGTACTGGACTGGGTTAGAGTCCGCAGACCTCACCGTAGCAGTAAAATGGCATAGTTTTGGTCTGAACCTCACCAAGTGGTCCGTCAGCTAGGATCCGCCACATTTCTGTTAAGTGACGGCTCACGCTGGCATGCTAGTAGATTGCAGAAAGTGCCCATCATTCTTACACCAACAAGAGGTCCGTGGGCAACAGAGCCTAACGCAGGAGCAGCACAAGGAGTCAGTTCCCCAGTCCCACGACCAGAACCAGTACAGCCATGGCCACACCAGGCACCTCAAGGTTTACAGTTCGGGGAGCCCCCACAACAGCCAGGACCTGACCTGCCACCGCTCCTGCCAGCAGATGGCCCTCACCCTCCTCAGTCATTGCTTGATGTTACCCAAAATGGCCAGGAAATGCCCCAGCAGGCTACTTTGGGAGGCAGACCAGTTCGGGCAAGGGCTCATCCTACCTACCTGGAAGATTATATCACAGACTTTCATGCATAGGAGTTATATGTTTTTTCTCTCTTATGGTTTGAGGGCCACATTGAAACTTGTTTCATTAAGTTCATCAATTTCTAGGGGGGGGGGGTGTTGTGTTCAGCATGTGACAAAGAGTTCTTGAAATGCGTGCACATGCATGAGTTGCATGCGGCAGAAAGAAAAGTGAATAAAGGAAAAAAGAAGCATCCGTTCAAGCTCCCGTTTAGAACTGAGTTTTTTAGCATTCCGTCAGCTTAAACACAACAGAGGTGTTTCTAGCCATTCATCGGTACTGAGGCACAAATACACTGCTGACAAATGATAGACACTGGTAGGTTGTTTCCTAAAATGGTTTGCACGTAAATATCCACCTTATTGGTGCTCTATTTGTCTTCTGTCTTATAAAATAGCCTGTTAATATTTCGGCGAACTATCCAAATGATGAATCAAACTGAATCGCGAACAAAGAGGCCGCATTTAGGCACTGCATGGGTCAAGTGCAGGGGCGGTTCTAGGGGAGGGCCGGGTGGGGCCAGTTCCCCCGTGTCAACAAGCTTGGCCCCCCCTCTGGCCCCCCTAAATTTGGAATCGTATCACACAACAAATCGTATCACACCAAAGCAATACACAGTTTGTCCTGTGGGTGGCAGTAATCGGAAAAAAAGTAATTAATTGTGCCAACTTTTATGTCAAGAGGAAATCAAATTAAGACCGCATGCTTCAGCGAGGAGGATCTTCACATATTGTCAGAGCTACACAACAACAACAACAAAAAGATACAGGTAACGAAAATATTTTATTTGTCATGTTCACGAAGTGAAAAACACTATTAAATTATCCAATATTAGACGTTACAAAACTACATATCAAGCAATCATGACTTTGCAAACTTAGCAAAGAGTCAGCAGCTACCATAGAACAGATGTAACACGTTAAAGAAATTTGGATTTCAATATTTAACGTTAATTTGTATTGTCCAGTTTTGCCCTACATTGATTTCTTGCCTTTTTAGTAACTTTGTGATATGAAGCATACGCGACTGTGCAAAGACAAAATCTGGTAAGTCTTTTATAAATCCAGAATTTAGATTTAGAGGAATAATCTGACCAAAATTTAAAATTAACTATCTCTAATGTCGTGCCAGCTCATGATTTTTCTGTTCTGTCATGCTCAAAAAGGACAAAATATCATAAAATAACAGTAAAAGTAATCAATATTACTTCATCTTTACTGTGTGTTGATTATTTGTGTGGGGTTTGTTGCCCCCTTTTTGAGCCTGACAGTCCATCACAGTCAGAATCACTATTTCCTTTTATTTTGCATGCTTCCTTTCATATTATCTTTAGAAAGTCAGATGGGTGTGTAACAGCTTGTAAATAATGATTGGATATTTGAGTGAGCTTCTGTTTTCATGTACACGTTCATTTACATTTTCATCCTTTTTGCTTTTGTAGTTAAAATGAAGATAAAAAATCCAAAGGACATAATGTCCTTCTCTAGTAAGAAAAATAAAGATCATGATCAGTCAAGACTGGAGAGAGAAGATGCTTGTGAAAAAGAGTCAGAAATACATGAAAGTTTAGAGAAAGAAGAAAGTCCAGAAGAACAGAGAGCCCATCAGCAAGGTGATTTAGTTGTGGAGAGAGTCAGCAGGCCTGGAGACAGAGAGCAGGCAGACAGCAACCTGGAGAGTGAGAGCACTGAACATCTAGAGCAAGAAGAGAAAAGAGGTGAGGCAGAGTGTGAGCAAGAGAAGCCCTGTGCATCTACAAGCACTTCATCTGAACCGTCAGGTGTGTTATGGACCTTAAAATTGCCAGTCACTATAGGCCAGTTATCTATAGACATGTTAGGCTGATTGAGATGAGAATACTCAGCTTTAGCTCTTTTTGTTTTTCCATAAACATTTTTTGTTAAATAATTTGAGCTTGACAAATAGCTATGGAATGCTAAATAATTATTAACTATATAACTATAACTATGTCTCTTTCCTCTTACACAGATATCTCAAAGAGTAGAGATTATCCACCTGTGCAGCCACTCTTAACTACATATCCAAAGACACTGATGGGGGACAGGAAGAGGAGCTTCAAAGCAGAATGGTACAAGATTCATCCATGGCTTGAGTACTCGAGAATATTAGACAGCATATTGTTATGCCTGTCGACATTTTAGCCCTCCCAATAGCCCAGAGTCCGTTTTTGAGAGTGGTTTCAACAACTGGAAGAAGGCAACCTACAAGGAAGGGGGATTTAGAATTCATGCAAGATCAGAGTGCCACAAGCAAGCCATGGTTGCATGGAAAGACTATGAGACAGCAGTGAAAAACAACAGAACTTTGCTAAATGTCTTAAACAAAGAACACGACAAGCAGATTAAAGACAACCGGGAATATATGAAAACAATCGCTGAAGTACTACTACTAACAGCCACACAGAACATTGCACAAAGGGGACACGATGAGTCGGCAGAATCAGACAACAGGGGTAACTTCATAGCAATCTTGGAAACAATTGCCAAACATGACAAAACTTTGAAAAAAAGGTTGCATTCTATCCATAATGCCAAATACACCAGCAAAGCAATTCAGAATGAGGTTCTTAGTTGTTTGGCTGATATGGTTAGAACAAAAATAATAGAAGTCTTCAGTATTATGGCTGATGAAACACAAGACATTAAAAAAAAGAAGCAGATATCCTTGGTACTCAGGTACTATTATAGTGGAGCCATCCATGAGAGTTTTCTCCATTTTGAATCGGCCGATCAGGTAAACGCAGCTGGGCTTACTGAAAAGATTATCCACATGTTAGAAAGCCATGGTCTAGAATACAGAGACAATTTAGTAGGCCAATCCTATGATGGCGCGTCCGTTATGAGCGGCAAGCATGCAGGTGTACAGGCACGAATTAAAGATGTGGCAAAGCATGCCTTTTACATTCACTGTAGCGCACACTGCCTACATTTGGTACTAGTCGACACAGTCAAAGCAATCCCTGAGGCAGATTTTTCTCACTGCAGGAAAGGTCGGGGTCACATGTGCACAAAAAATGGCTTGCTGTACAAAGAGAAATGTTTGAAGGTGCTCCTAGAGAACTTCAGAGACTAAGTGATACTCGGTGGGCATGTCGTTATATTTCACTGCGTAATACTTTGGATAGATTGCCTTCCATTAAGAGAGTTCTGCAGGAGGTAGTTGAGGAACACAATGGTGACAGGTCAGTTGAAGCACAAGGTCTGCTTGCACAGTTAGACTTGAAATTCATTGTACATCTTGTTACGCTATGTAAAATATTTGGAGAAGCAAGACTCCTTTCAGATATGTTGCAGTCATCATCACTTGATCTTTCAAAGGCTGTAGATTTAGTTCAAGCCTTGACTCAGACCTTGCTTGAGTACAGAAATTAGTAATTTTTTGATGGCCTTTGGACTGAAATAATAGATATAGCTGGAAAGTGTAACATTTCAGAACAACTAAATGAAAAAAGGCAGACACAGCTAAGTTTACAATTTAGTGGACATTGTGTTCTCTCTACAACTGGTGGGAGAAGGGTAGATGCAAGTAAAGGTGGTTTCTGTTCTTACTTTTTTTACCCAGTGATAGACCAAATGCTTTCTCAGCTCAGCAGACGGTTCTCTAACCAGAACTGTAATATTATGAATGGCATTCAAGCCCTAAATCCCAAAAGTGATGCCTTTCTCAAAGAAGATGTCCTCTTTTCTTTGGGTAGAATGTATAGCTCAACTATTGAGGATTTGGGGCATGAAATACATCAGTTCAGAAGGATTCTAGACAGAAAAATACAGTGTATTTACAGTGTCTCAAGTACAGTGGAGCTGGCATCATTTATGGAACCTTATAGTGAGGTCTTTTTTGAGCTCTTTAAACTTTGCGAAATCAGTGTTGCAATTCCAATCAGTACAGCTTCTTGTGAAAGGAGCTTCTCCACTCTAAAACTAGTCAAGACACATCTGAGATCTACTATGGCAGATGAGCGAGTGAGCAACTTGGGTGTTTTAAGTATCGAATCCAAGCGGGCAAATGAATTGAATCTTGATGAATTTGTTGATTTGTTTGCAAGGAACCACAAAAACCGACGAATACAGCTTCTATGAATACATGATGTTACAGATGATCATAAACACATTTTCAGATGACTGATGTTGATTTGTGGATATGTTTGATTTGTGTTATATGTACAGTACTGTGCAAAAAAGTCCGTTATTTCTATCTTTTGCTGTAGTGTGTCAGTGGAAATATCATTTACATTTCTAAACATTAATTTTGCCATTAATTGTCCAGAGTTTAGTCTGTGTCAGTTTTTTCTGTTTTTTCATGTCATTCCAGACAGACTGGATGATGATCAGATCAGATCTCTGTGCGGAGCACTGGCTGTTGTCAGACAAAAATCTCACTGGATTTTTACAATTAATGGCAAAATGAATGTTTGGAAATGTAAACTGATATTTCCTACTGGCAAAAGATAGAAATAACTGGCTTTAAACCTTTTTTTGTTGGTAAAATACTAGTGGGCTAAGACGTTTGCACAGTACTGTATATGTGTCATAATTTACAGATGCAGAAAAGTGCCTAGATGGGATTTGTATGTACATATGTGTCATATAGTTTACTGATGCAGAAAAGTTCCTGTGCTTAGATACTAAAAATGTGTTCATTATCACACTACAATATACAAATATTTGACAAAATAAATGAAACATAATGAAACATTCATTTGAGTTGAAATTGTTATTGCTTACTTCTAAAGATTGCAGTGATACATGACATGGTGAAAAATGACTGAATGAATAATACTGAAAGT